GTATTATAATGTTGCGAAAATATACTATTCGCAATTTGCTCGAGCTACATCACCGCCAGACCTCCAAGACTCCAAGTATCATATTGAACACCGAAGCATTGATGAGCTGTGAAATTACCAACCTTGAGATTGCTCTGTCCAGAATGGCAATTCTCCGAAATAACATAGCGGTTAGGGAGGAGAAGTGATAAGTTATTGTAAACCAAACCTTTGTTGTGAGCACGTAGATGATTCGGAAACGGGTGATCTGACCATTATTTTGCAAACCGTGAATGAAGGGCAGCGATACATGTATGGTGACCGAAATGACTCCACCATTCAAATCAACTCCGGAAAGAGATTATAGACAAGTATCTCCATTTCGTATTGTCAAAAATGAGAAGTACACTCACGTTCGCATGACTGGAGCTTTTGACATTCATGACGTGAGAAATCCGGATGCAACAGATACAACAGACTACTCTTTATCAGGTTAAATTGGTTATTGGTCACTCAAGAATAAGATCAACCTTTAAATAGCCTTGAAAACATGGTTGAAATGCGTCCCTTCGCTAGTCACTAAAGCATCAGTGTCAACATATTTCTTTTGTCTCTTCCATCAAAAATATACTTTCCCATATGCCATGAATGAAAACTTACAATCTCCTGTGATCTTGCATGGCGCGTTTACGTGAACAATCTTAGCTCCAAATATTGCACATTGTACGTAGCTCAGCGCAGTTACTCCGTGGAGTTGCTTTGTAAAGTCAAGGTAACTCACCGACAGGAGCAAGCTTAACGGAGATGTTAGAACCATTATTTTCATTACAGACACGTGAATAGACGTCGTAAGGCGTATTAGGAAATCCCACCACTCATTAAGTTTTGGTGGTTATATTCTTAAAGCGAAAGAGTCAGGCATCGCATTACGGCTCCAGTACTTACTGCGTTCCTAGTGGGAGGTTGTCTGTGCGTCTGCCACTACACCATCAGTTTTATCTTGCATCGAGTTCACAGCAGAAACGGTGCTGAAATGCCTACAAGAATTGCGCACAACCAGCTTTCCTTGAGTGGACAAAAGTCAACATTTGCAACAATTTCTCTTTACGAAAGTCTTAACGTTTTGTGGGCGATCATGTTAATGGACAACCACCAGATCCTCTAACGGGAGTTCGATGGCTATTGACGTAATTTGTTGAGGAAGGCATGGTCATTCTAGGTGGACAAGTTCCGCGGTGTCCACATCTGTCATCGACACGCCTACATTTACAAACCTGAAGCGCACAAACTGCGGACAACGTCCAAGAAAGGTGACCTCGTTGTTCTGGTAATGGCCGGCCTCCGTTGATGCTGGCACTCAGAATCCGCTTCGTTTGCATCATCACTTTGCATGTAGGTCTCGTGCCGTTGGCGCTGAGCAGTTTGGATCCAACCATATTCTCTCTGGTGGTCAATGGCTACGTGCGCTACTGCGTCGAATATGCTATCAAGATTTGGCACATTTGGCTAAAAATCTACCGTGGAGCGCTTCAAACAACTCAAAGTTGAGCAACGAAATTTATCAATGGTTTGATCCACGTTCCGTGCTAGCGACGAATAAGTGCACTCGAAGTGTTCAGTGGACGTAACGGGCTTCCAATTAGAGACCTCAAATAGATATCATCTGATGCATTAAATTTGGTACATGTACGGATAATCTGAATCGATTTCAGGATGACTAGTAGCTCCGCAATTATGATCCAGGTTGACGCATGTACAAGTGTGCAGAGAATTGAGGAATTTGCTTGTTATTTACGATGAGCAAAAAACATATCCAATTGTTGTTTCGTTTTTCCTGGGGATATTTTACCCACATAACCCTCCTTCGTTACGCTAGTACTCTGTAGTTCCAACGATAACTTGTTCGTTTGGTCCACTTATGTTTAATCTGAATTTCTCTTTCTTCCATTAGCAACCAACGGGATAGGTTAAGCCTGAGTGAGTTAACACGTCATCAGATATTGTTTCTTCGTAATGCGTCGCCATGACATAACAGAACAAATGCCGTGGGCGATTACATACCGCTTTGCAGGTGACATAGAAACGGTGTGATCTATAAACGCCTACCTATTAAAATAGGAACATGCAAAACGAAACCAATGTTTAGAAGACCACATTCAAACTGCATGATGGCGCATCAATAACAAACGTATTTGCAAATACATTGCACTACCAAAATGCCATTGGAATTGGGGATCGAGACATAAATGCGTTGAATATAAGCATACTTTTATCATGCTACATAGATTATAGAGGAATGCAGAGGAATGGCAAAATCAGATTGAAGTAACGAATTTTGTCTCCGATGACCAAGTTCGGCTTACTAAGCCACGCATATCTTACAGCCAAAACAAAAGTATGAGCTGAGAATGAAATGCTGACTGTAACTATCATGTTCGTTCAAATTTATCATGCGGCCTATACTTATCCGAGTAGGCTTTGTTTGCTGCTCTTTTATGAAATATCAAACAGCGAATTGAACTTAAACCTCATTGCTTCCAACATCTTATTTATTTATTATACTTTTGTTTTATGCTACCTCTTACTTGTCACAACCTACAGCAAATAAGTCAAAAGTGTTTGTGCTGATTGATAAATGCCAAACAAATTTTCCTCATGCACCGAACTAAAATTGCTATTCTGAATTCTTCGGGTTAGTGGAAATCTTGTTAGGATGACAATAGATAAATTTTCAACGTTCAATATATTCTTTATAATTACACATGATCATAAATTTTAGGTTAGTTGCGCTGTATTGTATGAATAAATACAGAGTTTATAACTATGCTACAAACGCAAATGCATTTATCAAATTATAAAGATACAGAAATCGTGGTTCCGGAGCTAAAAGATATAAGCCGCATAAACCTTTAACCCACAACTAAAGATTTAATAATATTATCTGCCAGAATATGGATGTGAAAATCGAACACACAAATGTGTGATAAATAGGGACTAAACAGCATATGTGATGATTGAGAAGTTAAAGATCATCAAGCCGACAACAGCATTTCTCGAAAACCTGAGGATATAAAACGTAACAATTTGAATGCAAGAAACGATTTTGCTATGAGTCGTCCCATATTTTTTAACCAAAGCTATAGATGGATTAACAGTTTGTAACACGAAGTTCAGCAACAATTTGAACTAGTACCTGTGGTGTCCGTTGATAATCCGTCACTAAAGTGCAGTGCAGCTGATGTGCCTTGCAGTAAGGTGAATTCGTTTGTGACTGATGTGTTCAAAATCACTGCGGTAATATCTGCATTATGCACGAGTCCTGCTGAGGAATGGAAAAATGACGGATGGATGCATGAGAACAGAAATATTATTATTGAACATGTTTGATGTGAAATGCTTCTAAGAATGTGGTCACCTATTGTTGAAGTCGAACACACCAGGAACCGCTAGTGACCACATGTATGCTGCAAATTTGTGCGCTAATTTAGCAGTTATTTCGTACTAACTACGTTGATATGTTCAGAAGCAAATCTCTGACATGTCTTTCATAGAGAAAGCATCCACGTCCCTTCAGTAATAACTGTGTGAGATGGATAAATCACCTGTAAATGTGAGGGTTTCTGTTTTAAAAAAAGATTGCTTTTGGCCTTTATCTCTAAACTTAAAGGTGAGATATAATATTTCCTTCCAAATTGCGAACGCTTTTTGTCCCAAACGGGATGCTTTGCTGTTGGTGGAAGAACCGACTAGCGCCATGGGCGGGACATAAATGGTGGATGCAAGTTTTGTCGGGGATATTCTGATTGTTGTATTTTATCTCTTTAGAAATCGTAGGTCATAAACACATCCTGCACAACACAAACAGTGCTACGTGTTAACGGAGGAAAGACATTTTCTGTGGTGATTTACACAACCTGCCAACCAACTTCTAGATGCATTAGTAGATGGTTGGGGAAGAAGACTAGCAATAATTTACACGGGTACCTGCGGTTAACGTTGCAAATTCTTCAGTAAATTCCTGTTCAGCAATTGTGCCTTGCGTAGCGATGCTTCCGCTTGTGGTTGCTGTGTTCACAGTCGCAGCGGTAATATCTGTCTGCTGGACGAGTTCGGCTGAGAAAGAGTACGAGCAATGGATGGATGCATGAGATCAGGAATATTCTTATCTATGCTGGGGTATTTAAAAGTTGGAATCGATAGCAGATCTTTACTATCGTAAACATCATGGACCGCATGACACCGCTGGCATAAATGCTAAGTAAATGCTATTTTGAATATACTTCCGAGTTATCAACTTCCTTCTTTCAAGGGGCAAATCTCAGACGGTTGGAGTTTATTAGTTTTTAACCTTATCGATCTCCTCCCATTTGACCCTTCTTTTCGTTCGCTGGATACAATTACAGCTTGCACTCATTTTGTTGTTTTCAGTATCTTTACTGCTTTCTTATATTAAAATCATTTTCTCTAATCCATTTTTTATTTGGAAAATTTATATTACTTCTCGTTATTCGGAAAATGTTTTCACAACTCTTCGTATTTATTCTTTTTTCTTCATTGTGTCCATTTTCCGATTGTACCGGGATTTACTTTGCTGCTGCGTATTTGTTTCTTATTATGTTCTGTGCAATCCTGTTTAACGCTAATGCTTTAAATTAGTCAACGCTTTTCATCGTTTTGTGCCAGTTGTTTTGTTATACACTTTAATATTTATTATTCACTGCGGACGCCTACATGTTTTAACTTCTGTAATTTTTCCAATGATTTTGCCATGTTTTCAATTCCTTCTGGTATTATTTCCTACCCGCTTTCCATTTGGCTCTTTCCATCATCTCGTTTTAACTCCGAAACTGATTCACAGGTGCAACGGTTAATTTCGTTAGGTATTGCAGGCGTGTCTCTGTTTTCTTCCATCATATGGAGCAGAAAATATTTAACCAACTTATGAGGAAAACAGCTGCTGTTAACCCTTATAGTCTCCGTACATAGTTCGTTGGCAGTGTGAGCAATCTAATATTGTAGTTCGGAGGTATTAACTTTCAGGTCCCTATCATCATTATCATCGTACATACAATCTAGTTGTAAGTGCTATGCGCAATTGAACCAAATATTTTGCCATGCAAAATATGAAAATCTGTATGTAAAATATATTGCAACAGTTAGAATATACCATATAATACCGGAGGAAATAAGATCAAATATTGCACAAAATGTTATTGCGCAATAGAACGATGAATACATCGTTAGGAGAGATGCCAATTTACAATGAGACACAAACGATATTTGGACCGCTTCTCCGCCATATAAACACGTGTAACGGACCAGACGTGTTCATGTTCCGTCTTACCCAGCCCTGCTGTCGGGTAACACCAACTGGCGCCATTTTTGAAACAAGTGACTTCATACTTCTTCAACAATTTATCGCTTGGCCTCCAAACCTCTTTATTCATCCACACCCCGGTTGCACCAATTTCGTAAGTTGGAGGAGTAAGTGAGCTGGCATGTGCAGCACTTGACTAAGCCATCCTTGTCTGGTGCAGGATACCCACCAAGCGTCAACGCAGAGATGATTCCCTGTCAATTTTTGAGAACGACTTTACCTATCGACGGTGATATTCGTAGCCTGAAGCGATTGTCTGTCGGTATTGATCTGTCCAGTGCAGCTTAGAACATTCAGGCGTTGTCACATACATTGTCGTCGACATATTTAAAGTAAACTGGTCGCTCGAAAGGAGGCAGCTTCAGGTTTAGCGGATCTTGTCAGCGAACGTCGTTCCCCATATTTAGTCAAAGTGGACGTTATACAAGAAAAGTGACAGTGAGCAATCTTGCATATTGAATGGCAGCGAAACTATGCCGGAAAATTCTCAGACTACTCGAACTAAGCGTGTACAGTGTATTGATAACTTTTCTTTTCTGTACGGGTGCAGTGTTTGTAAATCTGATCGAATTCCGTGCGCAAGGCATAGGGACTTAAGCTGTCTGGCAAAACGTGTGACGAACAGCAATATGCTACAGATATAATGACCCAGAAAAGACAGTCAATTCAGCTGACAAACTATACAGTGGCAGCCACATGCATGGATATTGTCACAGTCAAGCGCTCAGTCTCCACACAGGAGGTTATTGCTCAACAAAGACGCAAGCCAAAGATTGGTAACCACCAAGCTTAAAGAGGTGGAGTTAACGCTACAAAACGGAGAGCGGTATGTAAGCTTACTTCATACCAGAATAAATAGGAACAAGAATACAATGTTTGAATCATCTACGCAATTCTCTGTTGTTGAGCTGGGAGTGAACAATATGATGCTTCACCGAATAGACCATATAATTCGTGGTGAGGTACGTCACTGTAGTCATCACAAATGCAGAGATGGCACATTACATATTAAAGAAACATGACGAACGATGGCAACAACTTTGAAATGGACGAACAGGAATATTGAAAATTGGATATTGTGTCCCAGCGGTATAGTTAGATTGCGACATACAAGTCCTGTTTGGAAATTGGTTCATCCGAACTAGACCTCAAGCAGTCTGATTACAAGCTCGTTATCCGCGATGTACGCGTTTCGGTGTTGCTCCCCCTAACGATGACCACATGGTAGTGTCGTCCGCATTTAGACTCATATTATTAAGATCCTCTGAGTTGGGGCGGTACTAAGTGTCTACTGTTTAACTGCTGACATCTTGATCACTATGCCACTAACATCCTTGCTCAACGTTTGACACCTAAACGTTGATTATTAAAATTAAGTCTGATACTCTTTTATTCACAATCCTTCTCAATGGCCTCGAATTGTTTGCACATTAAATATGCCATATCTTATCTATAAACATCAGTACTAACAATCGCTGAAATACATCGGAAACCTCACCGGCAACCCGACTGCAATAACTAGGATCACAGCTCCGCCCAAACTCCAAAATCATCCGAAACATCACGAAGACATGGACACAAATGTTGGCTGGATTGCAGCTGCTGCCACAGACACAAGATCCTTTAAGTATCAAGCAAATTTAGCCGAACCCAAACAACTAACGAAGTTTAACCTCTAATTAAACGGCCGCAAATGCTTGCACGCAGACAAGGTAAGCAGACGAATTTAACCCCGGCTACACAAATGGATATTAAGAAGCCTCATATTCGAATACTGATAACATGCACTTAGGCCCATTAATCGACATCGAGACTTCAAATGTAAGCAATTTGATGACATTAACTTGTGGAACTGTATATGTGAGTTCCTAGGTGCAGAAGTTCACCCCGCCAAATGGATGGGGTTTACCCGTCATTAAACTTTAAACAATATGTTGAAAATTCAATACTTAGTGGTGCACTGAGCCTCGCCGATGAAGGGAAGCATTACAGCTCTTGATATGTTGCTTCAGGAATGGGTCGTATTTTATCCGAATCCTATTGGATATCAAGTAAAGCGACAGTAAATAGGCGAAGCACGACTTTGAGGAATAAGAGAATGAAACCGAAGTTTGGGCAATGCTTATACATGATGTCCCAGAAGCCAGATGACACTATGGACGCGATAAGGCCATTCATGTACAGCAGCGTTTGTGGTAAGTCAACGCGAACCTGTCCATGGTAAACGTCGTAGAACAACGAATACTTGAGGTGGTATCTTGCTCTACATCCTTTTCAGCATAAGGCAAAGCACCCATACATAGCCATATCAAAAGTATGAGCTGAGAATAAAACCCTAACTGTAACTATCCCTCTTCTTTCACATTTATCAAGCGGTCTTTTCTTATCTGACTAGGCATTATTTGCTACCCTATTAAGGCTCATCCAACTGCAAAGTGTACCTAAACCTCCTTGCTTCCAACGTCTGCTTATTTATTTGCAACGCTTGCGGTTTATGCTACCTCTTACTTGTCATAACCTGTAACAAGTAAATCAAAATGGCCTGTGCCGATTAACAAATGCCAGACAAGTTTTCCTCAAGCATGCACACAAAAATACCATTCTGAATGCTTCGGATTTGTTTAAAGCTGTTAAAATGAAAGCAGGTAAACATCTTTTTCTTTGGTAGCATTTCTAATTCTACATGAGCACAAATGTTTCATTCTAGGTTAGATGCGCTCTAATGTAAGAATGATTATAAAGTTAATAACTATTATTCAGATCAAAATTCGCTTATCAAATTATAATGAAATCCTGATTCCAGATCTACAAATATTTAAGCAGCAGCGAATCGTTATTCCACATATAACAAGTAAATATTTTGTACTGAAAGAACATGGATGTTACGTTCACAAGCCCAAAATCTGCATGATTTTGTGTATTAGAAAACTATGGAAAGTACGGAAAGATAAAGTGTCATCGAGCCGGCAACGCTTGTCTCGAAAATCGGAGCAAATGCGAGCTAAATACATAGAATGCGACAACGACTTTTCCAATAATGTATCATACATATATCCAAACAAAGCTACAGATAGATTAGGAGGTGATGAAACGAAAATGAGCAAAACTTTGAGTAGTACCTGTGTTAACTTCTGATAATCCGTCAATAACTTCATGTGCAGCGATTGTGCTTTGCAGTGAGGTGCTTTCGTTTGTGGTTGCTGTGCTCACAGTCGCTGCGGTAATGTCTGTCTGATGCACGTATTCTGCTGCGGAAGATTACAAGCAATGGATGAATGCATGAGATCCGGAATATGCGTAAAATAGTTTGATGTGAAATGCTTTTTATTTTGTGGTCACTTAATTTTTCACTGGTAAACACCACAATTTGCTTGTGACCGCAGGTATGCGGCAAAATTGTGCGCTAATTTTGCAGTCATTTCGTGTTAACTACGTTGATATGTTCAGTAGTAAATCTCTGACATTTGGCTTACATGGAAATGCAAGCTACGTCCAAGCACCAATTACATTTGTCAGATTGATAAATCTGCTGTAAACTGTAAGTTTCTTTACTTAGAGATAGAATCCTTTTCGTCTTCACGTTTAAAGGTGAAAGATGGTTCTTACTTCCAAATTGTGAACGCTTTCTATTGCATTCTGGTTCCTTTTGCTTTTGTGTTGAAACAACTCTGCCACATGTTGAAATTATATGGATGATGTAATTCTTCCCCAGGGTTGTCTATCAGTTGCATATTTATTCCATTGTACATTGTGGGCCACCAACACATCGTATGCAACGCAACCACTACTATCTATTACTGGTGAATAAACATTTATGTGGTGCTTTGCGCATTTAGGCAACAAGTGGTCTAGTTGGAATGGGAGATGTTGACAAGAGGATCAACATCAGTTTGAAATACTAATATATTATCAGTTGCTGCCGAATTCTTTTGCGAAAGGGTAAACCCAATGGATGAAATCATGAGATCAGGAATATTCTTATTTATGCTTACTGTGAAATAATTTCGTTAATATTTTCGATTTTTGTGCAAAATGGAAACACCACGAACCGCTTTTCCCCCCGATTTATCTCGATATTGTGCGCTAATAAAGAAATAATTTCTTGTTAATGAATTGTAAGTGTTAGTTTGCAAAGCTGTTAGAGATGACTTCTTAGAAATGTTATCTACTTCCATGCAGCAATTGCTTTTTACGATTGATAAATAATCTGTAAATTTGAAGTTTGCTGGATTAAGTATATGAAGCATTTGGACTGCTTTTTTAAGCATATTAATGAAAAAGTCATCCACGCTAGTAATTTGAAAGGATTTGTTTCCCTCACGGACTGCGTTAGCTTTTGTGCAGGAACGGATTGCGTCACTTTCGGGACATATAACGGAAGAAGCTTGTGGTTTTGATAATTGCTGCCGTTCGTTTGCTTGCCTACTTGAAAATTTTGTGACTAGAATTATCATGTGTGATTTAATCAGCAAGTTTTGCAACGGCTGGTACTTGCCGCTGCCAAAATCAATTCCAACTCTTTCCTGTCCAAGTAAGCAGCACTTATTCATCCAGTGGTAATATCTTGCACAAATATTCCTCTCCAAGTACTTCCACAGATTGGGTGATGGAATCGGAGTGCAAATCATTCCGACTACTTTTATGTGCATTACTATACATCCAACGTCGTTTTACCGCCCATCATGGTGTACTCCTGAGATGGACTGCAACTTGGTGGCTTCGTTGAGCCAAGTGGTAAGTGGTAGTCAAACCGTGAATATTGGTGAGCTAGTTGAATTCATCCAAGCCGGATAACAAGGAAGTGCCAATCTCAAATCGGGGTTGGGAAGAGCAACACCCAAATATATCCATTCAAGTACGAATGTTATTTTAACACTATTCTCTAAACGTGAACTTAAACTGCATTAGTTCAGGCTTGCCTTTTTCCTGTGTTATATAATTGCTATATTATTTTTACAAACTACATGAAACGCAACCGCATGTGCCCAGAAGTCGTGCAATGCTCATTTACAATTGCAATATCTTACGCATGATGCAAAATTAAATGCTCTGGGCGTTGTAAGCTGCTGAACATGAGCCACTGTGGCTAAGACACAAGAAACTAAGATTACTCTTCCGCATTGACTTTATCCACAGGTGTATATTCGCATCAAATATTCTATTAGTTTCAGCAATAATGCATACGCAACCAGGACTGCACAGAACGCGGATCCGGTGTCTGCATTTATAAGGAATGCTCGAGGAATGTTCTAGCTAAACAGATACTCTATAAGCTGGACGAGCCTAAATAGCGAAACAAAAGCATGCTAATGGGAACCAATGTTTAAAAAAGCAGTTTCAGACTATATGACAAGGCATCAGTAATAAGCATTGTTGCAACGAAATCACAACACTGCAATACAACGGGAAGAGGGGATCGAGACGTAAATGTGCTGCATGTACTCATCCACATGTGTGCTATAAAGAGTGTGTTTGCTTGAACAAGCCCACTTGTAGACCTGCATTGAAAATTGACAACCCTTTGAGAGAAACACGGTCAGTTTTCTTTACGCAACGCTCTTTCACTCCTACTTGGAAAAATATAAATCAGACACACAAATAGGAGAGGGCTGCAGAGGAATTGCAAATTGAGATTGAACTAACCAATTCTTCTCCAAACTTCATGTTCGGATTAAAAAAGTACACTTGCATTACAGCTATATAAATAGCATGAGCTGGGAAGAAAACGCTACTTGTAACTATCCCTCTACATTCACTTTTACCAAGTGCTCTCTACTTTCCTGAACAGACATCCTTTGGTTTCCTCTTAGTGCACTGCAGGCAGCAAGCGAGGGCAATAATTTAATGCTAACAACGTCTTCAAATTTTTACCAATACTTGCATTTTTATGACAATGACTGACCACATTTTTGCTTAAGTATAACCAAGACCCTTTGCCGGGTTAAAAATTTTAAACGTTTGCCTTACACGAAAATAATCAGTCTATTCTTCCGATTACTTGCGAAACAGCTGAAAGGAAAAAGATTAAATAAATCTCTCATTCTGTTATAATTCTTCCGCCCATGGTTCAAGTCTCTTTGGTATTTAAATAGTATGACTGGTCGCATCGAATCCTTAGAGCTGCAATAAATAAATACTGAATACTGTTAAGGGACGACTGGAAATGCTCAGCCGTAATACCCATACCGAATTTTGCCAACCCAAGCAAAGTGGATAACTGCTGGCCGATCTGCCTGACTGCTGTTTTGGCAAAAACGCTCGAGAAGATAGTGAAGAAGAACCTTCTGCATCTTCTCGAGTCGAAAAAACCTGTTGATCTCCGCACAACATGGTTTCATGGAAGCTCACTCGTGCATCACCAACCTACTGGTGACGAAGCACTTACGGTTACAACCGCTGAACCAAGG